AGCGCGGCGGCGAGGCGGGAACCTCGGCGGGATCGTGGTCTGTGTGGTGATCGCGAGAAGGTTGAACGGTTTACTTCGGGTTTTATTTTCTTTTCTCTGTGTAAAAGCTCTGTGAAAAGTCAAATGGAAGTTGTCCAGTGTTAACAGCTTTGAACTACAATTATTAGTCTTGACCTACCTTGAGGGCTTTGATATCTGCAAACTGCCACAGAGTTGTTTGGTTACTGAATTTTAACCGTACGTTGAGGTTGCAGACTGCGTCCATACCAGTAGCAAAGTTCATTTTTCACCAGAGCTCTTGTGGTCGGCACTGGTTGTTAGAGCTGTGGGTAATTGCTGATGATATGTAGGTGCTGTCAGCAGTCCACGTGAAGGGTTGAGGTGTATTGTTGAAACTTAAAATTTCATTGGAGGTGCAGGCGTAAGCTCTGCTTCAAAAAAACCCCCACGCTTTTGGCATGGGGATTATATCAAAGGTTGGATGGCTTGGTGTTCTAACTACACTGGTAAGCTCTACTAGCGATAAAGTCTAATTCGAGCTGGTTTTACAGTAAAGTTTTGCCAACTGAACAAAAAATGATCTCGGAGAAACAGGACGCATTCAATCGTTGCAAACTTCTGTGTACATGGACTTTATGTGGGTGCAAAATTGGATTACACCGGAATAGGTGGAACTGAGTAGCTGAAAAATGGAATTCCCTGCAACTAAGTGGATTTCAAACAATACCTAGATTCATAAAGCAGTCCAGATGTTATATCCAGCAGCTGTATAGTGCATGCCAAGAAACTGCCCCTCAAAGTGAATCTGTAGTGCAACTAGACATGGTAGGCAGGCTGCTACGCATGGCATGGTTTGTACTCGCATAGTTCACACATAAGCCTTGAAGTGATTCTTACATTCAGGAAATGAAATGACTAAAATATTGTCCGTTTGTTGGTTTTTTTTAATCCTGAATATAACTTGTTTACATCTGGACACTTAATACAAATAACTCTTTCTGGCCCTGTAGTGAATACATACATACAGAGCTAAGAGTGCATTACTATAGCAGTATAATGATTCTGAGTATTACAACTACTCTTTGCAGATTGTTTTTTCTTTTTAATAACTATTACAAAAAACTTATATTGCATCTACACAGGGTGATTCCCTTATACCTTACAAGGATTGAGGAAAAAAACTGTACAGTAGGATATGCCCATCTTTACTCTGATCTGTGCCTTGTTATTACAGCATGTTCATTGTGTCACAGCACTGGGTGCAAACAGAGACCTGCTGTTTGCAAACTCGCCTCTCCACGCAGAAGTGAGCAAATGCAAAGATTTAAAATATTAGAAGTACTATGACTTTGTAATGTATACTAATAGTTTGGTAAAGAAAGTAGAGTGTAAAAGACATTGAGGAACACAGAGCACTATCTAGAGCAAGGAGCATCTGGAAGTGAAGTCTTTTTGTAGCTTGATCTTACAAAACTTGAGTTTCTGTGTCATTTTTGAAGTTTGTGACCTGTGTCTCTGGAGTCATTTGATATTGAGCACTCTGACGGGGAACAGCAGGGTCTTTAAAGGACTGGTTTGACAACTGTAAACATGGGTTAGTCGTGAGTAGGACTTCGGAAGATGATGCAGTTCCCATTGGGTGCTCACCTGCCTTCTACTGCAATTCCAGGCCACCTTCAGCTCTCCACAGTGATAAAAGGCTGTTGGACTAGAGAGCATGTAGAGAAAAGGCACTGAACGATTGAAGGATTTGGAAACTTATTCTATAGTGAAGTCCTTTAATTGTTCTGTTTAGTCTGTCTTGATTAATATGGGGAAACACTTTCTCATTAATTTTTTTTTCACTGGTAAAAGAAGCTAGTATATAAACTAAAATATTTTAATACACATTGCAAAGCAAGTTCTGGGGTGCTAGCAGCTAGATCGCGTCTTTAAAATGTAGTTATTAGAAGTTGCTGATTGCCATTTTCATTCCGTGTTATGGTGCCAGGAGGAAAAAAAAAAAAAAGTGCAACCTGCAGCTTAGTTAACCATCTCTTTGTACTGCATAGTATAGCAACTAAAAGTAATAATTTCTAAAAAACTGCTGATTTTTTATTTGCAAATATGTATATAAAATATATAATGCTTATTTGAATTAATGAGTAAGCATTGAGTTGGATCTTTACATCAAAAATTTCACTAATTTCCTAAAAGGAAATTCAGTGTTGCTTTTCTTTAAGCATTTTTAGTCATGAACAATGAAAAAATAACAATAAAAAAGTGATACTTGTTTGCCTACCTAAAATGAAAAATTACTCTGTAGGGATTTTCTATGCAAATTTGTGTTGATTTCTGCCCCGTCCTCACCCCTTTATGGAGATTTTGAGAGTTCTTCCCCCTTTGCCCTAAGCACACACAAATCTTCTGCTGCAGTTCGTGCTGATAATGGTGTTGATTTGTCTAAGCAAACAAAATACCATGTTGAGAGCTTCTTGCTTAATCTTTGTTTGAGATCCAATTTTCCCAGTAATTCTTTTTTTTTTTTTTTGGAGGGTAGAATGTCTTCATGACATGTTTCTCTCTCTTAACTTCACACAAACTACGCTCAATGCAATTCCGTTATAGTTCTTCACAAATCACTTGCTTAGTTTGCCATCCCTTCAGAAGAGAATTGGATGCAACTCTTCCAGCCTTGCTGTTGCACAAGTCTGTGAGTTTTCTGAGTATTTAAGTCAGTCTTACATTTATTTTTTTTAGAGAGACAATATAAGAAATCAAAAGCATCTTGGGAGGTGGGAAAATGCATTTTTTGTTAACATTTTGATTACAAGAAGGTAATTTAGTTAGTCTTCATTGTTTGTGAATGTGTACTTAAAAATAAGTCTACTAGAGGAAAAACTAACTGGTTTTGAATTCCTATAAACAATATTATTTGCAAATAGTATTGTAGTATTGGGTTTGGATGTCTCTGTTTACCCTGAGGACATGGACTGTTTGAAGTCCAATTTGTCAGTGGAAGTGAGCTGGAGCTATGCAGGAGAAGGGAATGAGCCTTAGTCTGAAAAATACCTCCCTGGCACTGATGAAGTTGTAACTGGATTTATGTTTGAATTCTTGTTGTTCTGAATTTCATATCCTTCAGTTTTTTTTTTCCTAGATGTTTGCTGAAGTACTAATTAGTCTTTTTTTTTTTTTTTCTTTTTGAAGCAGTTAAGTGGATTGTGAAGTTGGCCTGCAAAAAAACCACAACAACACAACCCAGCAGAAGATGTTTCACGTTGTTCAATACCGGCCTTTAAGACTAATAACCCAAAACAGTCTTACTAGTATGTGTTTAAAACTGTTGCTTTCAAGACCTGTTACATTTGCACAGATATGGAAGTCGTGGTTCTCAAGCCATTCTCTTGTTGGAAACAAAAATATTATCCTGATGGGACCTCCAGGTGCTGGGAAAACAACGGTTGGGAGAATAGTAGGTCAGAAACTAGATTGCCCTGTCATAGACGTAGATGATGATGTCCTTGAAACAACCTGGAATATGAGTGTGTCGGAAAAACTGCAGGATGTTGGTAATGAGCAATTTTTAGAGGAGGAAGGAAAAGCCCTGTTGAATTTTTCAGCATCTGGAAGTGTCATTTCCCTTACTGGGTCCAATCCAATGCATGCTGCTGGCATGCAGCATATGAAGAAACATGGAATAGTTGTATATCTGGATGTGCCCACAACAGTCATTATGAGCAGGCTGAAATCAATGAAGGTGGATCGCATCGTGGGCCAGTCTCCTGGTATTTCTCTCAAGGACATACTTCAATTTAGGAAGCAGTTCTACAAAAGGTGGTATGACATCCGTGTTCTTTGTGGAGGAGATGTTGCAGCAGAGGTTGTAGCAGAAAAGGTACTTGATGCTGTGAAGAGATACCAAAACTCAGAACTGGAAACTTTCATTTCGACTAGGTGTAGTAGGTCTGGAAGGAGTATGGAAAAAGACTCGTGTAAATATTTCAGTGACGTTGTTACTGAGGGCTTAGCCCCTGATGGAGGACTCTTTGTTCCTGAGAGGGGACTTCCAAAATTCACTGCTGGAGAATGGCAAAGCCTAGTAGAAGCAACTTACACTGAAAGAGCCCAGGTGATACTAGAAAGGTGCATACATCCTGCTGATATTCCTGCTTCTAAGCTGGCAGAAATTATTGGAACTGCTTATGGAGAAAACTTTACTTGTTCTAAAATTGCTCCAGTTAGGCATCTGGCAGGCAATCAGTTTCTCCTTGAGTTATTTCATGGGCCAACAGCATCATTTAAAGATTTTGCATTACAGATGGTGCCACATATATTTGCATATTGCATTCCCAGAAGCTGCAATTACTTGGTTCTGGTA